AAGTCCCCACATATCACCTGAGAGAGAAATGGAGCAACAACTTCCTTCCCACGTTAATTCCATATTTAGGCAAGCAGCAACCGGCTCCTGACGGACACCTTGGCTCGTCTCCGGGGGCTCGGGATGAGCATTTAATTCCAAATGGAAAAGGCCATTTGGAATTAAATATGTCTTATAGCCCAGCAGTAATGAGAGCTGATTAGGAGAATGCTTGATCCCCTTGGATTCAGGCAAGTTTATTGGAGAAGCTGCTATCCAGGATCCACAGGCTGCGCTCCCTGTGGGAACACAGCCGGCCTTGCTGCTGCTCTTCCCAGTCAGGGCTTAATGATGTGCATCTTTACAGCACTTGAAGCAGCTGCAGAGAGTGGAAAATGCCCCAAAATTAGGGATATGACGGCACCTGCGTGGAAGGAAAAGGGATGTTCATCCCACAGGCTCCGCTTTAACCACGGGAACCACGGGAACCACATCCTCGCCTGGACACGCTTATCTCGCTTCTGCCTCGGGTGCTTTGTGGGTTTAGGATGGGTTTTTTTATTTAAATTTTGCTCTTCTAGTTTAAATATCAGGCCCAGGGCTGCTGCAGGCTCTGGAGGGCCGCCACATCCCTGAATTTCCAGGATCCATATCAGTGCTCCACAGTCCTTGCTCGGAGTATTTAATACCCTTTGAGCATTTGGACTGGAAAAACAATGCTGTCACGGAATGGGATGAGCTAAAATGGGAATGCACAGGGGACAATCCCAAGTTATGCCAAAAAAAAAAAAGGTTTAAAATGTGCTAAAAATGTTTTCTCCCCACGTTTTGCCTTCGCCTCCAGCTCCCCACAAAGAACAGGCACAGGAATCCAGGGAGAAAACATCCAAACCTTCCCTGTCCTTTTGGAATTATCCGTTTCCTTCCACCACTTTGTATTTTGGGACCAGAAACGGCGGGAACGGGTGAACCAGCCTGATTTTCCTTTCCTTAGGCAATCCCATGGTTGGGAAGGCGGGTTGGAATTCCCTCAGCCACGGCTTCAGGAACAGAAGGAGCACAACCCTCCCCGTGCTGCCAAATTCCCTGACGGCTCATCCAGCAAAGCAGATGACCAGGAGACACTAAAAAATTTGGGAATAACAGGGAATTCAGCACAGCTGAAGTGGGGTTTTTTTTTGCAGGGTTTTTTTTCTGCCAGGGCCCCCAAACCCAGCTTTGTCTCAGATCATCACCAGGCAAATCCCCACTCCCAGCTCAAAATCCCAGCCCCGGCATCTCTGGATTGTTTGGCTGGAGAAATCCCAGGGTTTATTTGTGTGGTCAGAGGGGCGTGGGCTCTAGCCAGGTGTCCTGGTGCCATTCCAACATTAATATCCCTAAATCTCCCGTCTGAAATTAAAAGGAGGGAGTGTGGGCTGTGGTTTTGTGCCTGTCCTCTCCTTCACCTTCCCCCCTGCTATGGCACAACTCCTGCAGAGCTGCTCGTTGGAGAATATCCCTCATCCCAACAGTGGGAGGAGGGACAGCAGCTCATTTAATTCCCTGGTTTTCCTGAATGCACTCCATCTGCATGGAGAGGTTGTTCCACGTTCCCAACACCAGACCACCCAGCACAACCCAGTCAGCAGGTTCAAGGCACTGTATTATTTATAACTAAATAATTATAATAATAAATAATTTTTTTCAATTAAATAGTATTAGTATTAGGATTATTTAAATAACAATAATAAACCCCCACTCCTAACAACAAAGTAAGAGACAAAACATCCCTTGGGGTGAGGATTTCCTTCCCGGGAGGCTTCCCAGGATGGTTGTCCTGTTCCCATAAGGATCTGAGGAGCTTTTCCTTCTCTTGTGCCAGCAAATCTGTGCAGACAAAGAGCCAGCTTTATTTTGTCAGGATTTCCCAGTTTTCCAGGTGGCCCTTCTGGTGCTCCCAGGTTGTCTATGAGAACCTAATATTCCAGCTGTGGTCCACTCCTTCCATTTCCAGGAGGAAAAAGCTTGGGAAGAGTGTGCTCCGTGTATAACCCAAAGGAATTTAAAAGCACACTCGGGATGTGCCTGCTGGTGTTCAGTGGGATTTCTCCTCCCTGAATTCCCAGTGACTGTATTCAAATGGAAAGGAAGGGACGGTGTTTGGAATTCCTGGCTTCAAACACACACAGAGGGGGAGAGAAATGGGCTGGAGAAAGGGGATAAAACCCAGATGGATTTGGGAACACTGGGGGGGACCGTGTCCTTACTTGACTTCCAGCATCACACACCCACTCAGAACACCCGGAGCAGCTCCCTCCCACCTGGCAGAGACCCCAGGCACGAGCAAAGGTCCACACACAGCTCGGGTTTAATGTGGGAGAGATACGGAATTCCTGGGTTTGATAAGGAGGTTTGGCCCGGGAGCTGCTCCAGCGTGGGAGAAAAAGCTGATAAAGCTGCAGGGAGGGTCCTTGGACACACAGTGCCAGGGTGGGAAATGCCAGCCCAGGCCTGGAGCAAACCCCTCCTGCCATGGAAGGGAGCGAGATACCTGGAAGGGATGGGATATTTGGGGTGGGCACTGCTCCTTCCTTCCCTCGATCCCTATTTCCTTCCGTCCGGCTGGGTGTTCACTCACTCCACCAAAAAAAAAAATCATAGGATGGATTGGGGTGGAAAGGACCTTGAGGTCCCATTCCAAGGACACCTTCCATATATATATATATATAATATGAGTCACAGATTTCCTCCACGACTCACACGTTTCCCCCAAGGACAGGGATTGCCTGAGGAATAAAGTGGCTGTGCTGAATTCCCCCCGTAACAACAACAAAAAACTAAATAAAACAAGGTCTTGTTCCTGGTGTTTGGCATTTTATTCCCACTTCAGCCCTGCTAATTCCTGCTTCTCAGCGAGGGGCTCCCAAACTGGCCACGGGGCATCCACCTTCCAAAATATTCAGCTGGGAAATGTCCTGCACACGAGGAAAACCTTAACATCCAACAGGGCACCTTTGGCATTAGCAGGGGGGACAACCCCGCTCCATGCTGCCCAAATTCCCAAAATTTCATGGATTAAAGCGCCTTCCCAGGGCTGCCAGGCTGCCCAGTGCTCCGTGGCCTTGGAGATGTCTCCAGAGGAAGCCCAGAGTTCCTCCTATTCTTCTCCAGCCCCATTGTCCCTCATCCCAAGCCTCGGGATCCGCACAAACAGCCTCTGCTGATGTCACACACACACACACAGAACACGTTTCCTCCTTCAGCCTCGGAGCCACAGTTTTTTAACCAACGTCCCCCCCCTTTAAATTGATTTTTAATTGAATTCTGCTTTATTTTAAGCCCCATGCACCCTCCAGCTCTCCAGAAGATAATTTGGATTTGATTATCAAGCGAGGCGGGGGTTTATAGGCTCGTTCAGCCAAGAAACAAACCCCTTCTTAAGTTGTGAGCCACGGCTTTGATTCTCAAACCATGGGGCCGAGAAGGAAATTTAAAGAGCGTGGCGTATTTATTAAAAATAAAAGAAGCACAGCGTGTTTTTAAATCACCAAAAACATCCCTCTTGCCAAAGCTGTGGGGGAAAAACACTGGCATAAGTTTTGCAGATGGGGAATCTCACTAAAAAGCTGGGGGGGGGGGGAGGTTTCCTGTCCATGGAACTGTTTGTAAACAGGGATATTCAAATATTTATTGGGGAGAAAAATAGAGTAAAGCCACTGGGAAAGGTTTTTAGCTTTAATTTTGCAAATTAAAAAACACCACGGTCTTGATAAAAGAAGTTCTTCCCTGGGACAGGAGCTCTGACTTCCTGCACATCCTAATGGAAAGCACCACCAGCAATTCTTTAATTACTCTGGAATGACCTCTTGGATCTGCACCTAGAAATTATATTCAAGTATTTTGGGGATTTTTCATAAGCCCAGGTTGGGAACATCCAGAGGAGTTACAGTTAAAAAATGGGCATTTTTTTTTCTCTCTATGGAACGGAGAAAAAGTGGACCAAAAAAAAATGCTGATTTGGGTTGTTGAAATAATTTGTTGGTTGGGACTTGTGGGACCAGCTGGAAAGGGAAAACACGAGCCGTGTTTTTGTAGCAGTCCTGGGCTGGCAGCAAGGAAATGCTTTTGTGTTGAGCTCTCTTATTCCCTCCAAGGCAAAAAAAATCCCCCCTCCCCAACCCACCTTTCTGAAATTCTGAATAAAACCAAGTTTGAAATGGCATCAAGGTGGTTTTTTTTCCTCCCGCTGCAGCTTATTGGGGTGGCTGCTGACCCAAAATTCTCTGGTTTTGGAGTGTTAGGTGTGGATCTCCGGACCTTTGCTCAGACAGGGGATGCCAGGAGACATCCCAGCAACCAGGGCTGTCCCGGGAATGCTGTCCATGGGCAGGTCTGGGGAATAAGGACAGAAATCTGCAGTGTTTAGTAGTGGGATTTTTGGCAGCTCTTCTGTTTAGGAGGGGAGTGAACGAGGGGGTTCCTCGTTTGTTGCTGAGCCAACTCAGCACACGAAACCCAGATAAACCAACAAATCCTGGAATGAGCAGGGAATTCGTGGCTGTGATGAGCGCCTGCCAAGCAGGAAAGGATACAACAGACTCCCAGGTCGAGGGGTTAAAGTCTGAACGAGCTGCTGCCAGAGGGAAGCTCCGGGAGAAGCTCCTGGGGATGCAGCAGGGCGGGTGGACCACCAGGGATGAGCTATTTTGGTCACTTGTTATCCCTCCTCCTGCTCTGCCACGTGTTCCAGAGTGACTGGCATCGCTTGACACGTGTCATCAAAGCATCTGCCAGCTCGCCTTCATCCCGGGATCTCCCAGCAGCCAGTGGGAAGCACCAGGAGAAGGTGGCTGGAGACACCATCCTGCCTTCCTCCTGCCACGAGGGATCAGGGAGGTGCTAATGGAGCATCGTGGCATCAAGGCCGGGTTGGACGGGGCTTGGAGCAGCCTGGGGTGGTGGAAAGTGTCCTTGCCCACGGCAGGGGGTGGAACTGGGTGAGCTTTAAGGTCCCTTCCAGCCCAAACCATCGTGGGATTCCCGCGATCCGCCCTCACCCACGTGATGCCAACGCTGACCAGGGTTTGCTCTGGGGCGGCATCGGAGCTTGGCTCTGTCCTGGCAAACCCGGACCTTCCCACGACCCAGCTCCTATTCCGAGGGCTCGTCCATCTATTTAAAGCACACGGAGAAGGGGAAAAATGCACTGGGAGCGTCGCGCGTGCGCGGGGGGGGGACGGCGCCAAATATTCCGTCTGCCTTAGAGGCCGATAGCCAGGGATCCCACGGCTCCTCGGTTCGGTTGTTTTCCTTCCCCGTTTTAGCAAGACATGCCTGCAGACTCTCGGACCCTTATTAGGGGTTAGAAAACCGTCTGCTGGGTTGAGGGAGTAAATCGAGCCCTTGAAAAACAACAACAACAAAAAAAGAAAAAAGCAGGAACAGGGCGAGTTTCTCCCCGTAGGAAAAAGCGTCACCAGCCAGAGCAGCCGAAACTTTGGGATGGGAGCTCGGAGCCGGCCGTGCCGGGGGGAAGGGGAAGACAACAGCGAGGGACCAACAAGCAACCGGGAGCCGAACCACGCTACAGGAAGCCGTGGCCTCCGGTGATAAATAGGAGACCCGGGAGCACAGGATGCGCGTAGGGCGAGCTCGGCGGGACGAGGGGATGTGAGCCGGCGTTGCCGAGTCCCTGCGTCCGTGTGTCCGTCCGTCCGTCCAGCCGGAGGGATGGCCGTGGCCCGGCTGCTGCTGCTGCTGGCTCTGGCGGTGCCGGGCTCCGGCGGGGAGGAGGCGGAGGTGGTGTGTGCCGACAGCGCCTGCTACACCCTGCACCGGGACGAGCTGGACTGGAAGGGCGCCCAGGAGCGCTGCCGGCACAACGGCGGCAACCTGGCCAGCGTGGGCGGCCCCGGCGAGGCCGCGCGGCTGCGGGAGCTGCTGGAGGCGGCCGGGGCCCACGGCCCGGCCTGGATCGGGCTGTGGCTGCAGCGGGGCCACTGCGTCCAGCCGCAGGAGCCGCTGCGGGGGTTCTCCTGGGTGGCCGGAGGGACGCCCGGCAACTTCTCGGCGTGGGCGTCGGAGCCGTCGATGACCTGCACGAGCGCCCGCTGCGCCAGCCTGCGGCCCCCCGGCCCCCACGGCCCCGCCGGCTGGGCAGACCGGCCCTGCCGCCTCCCGCTGCCCGCCTTCCTCTGCAAGTTCAGCTTCCAGGGAATGTGCGGCCTCCTGCCGCTGGCCGGGCCCGGCCGGGTCACCTACGGCACCCCCTTCGGGGTGCGCAGCTCCCGGCTGGCGGCCGCGCCCTTCGGCACCTTGGCGGAGGTGGAGTGCGAGGGGGGCCGGAGCCCGGCCTTCGCCCTCTGCAAGGGGTCGCTGGACGGGGGGGGCTTCGCCTGGGACCCCCCCGGGCCCCTGTGCCCCGTGGCCTGCGCCCACCGCAACGGGGGCTGCCAGCACCGCTGCCTGGAGGCGCCCGGGGAGCCCCCGCGCTGCTCCTGCCACGCCGGCTACTCCCTGGCCGCCGACATGGCCTCCTGCGTGCCCGAGGATTCCTGCCACCCCAACCCCTGCCAGGGCACCTGCCGGGCCCGCCCCGGCGGCTTCGAGTGCGGCTGCGAGGCCGGATACGCCCTGGCCCCCGACGGCCGGAGCTGCCTGGATGTGGATGAGTGTCTGTCCGGGCCGTGCCAGCACCAGTGCCAAAACACTCCCGGCGGCTTCCTGTGCCTGTGCCCGCCCGGCTACCGCCCGGCGGGGCCGGGTGGCCGCCACTGCCACGACCTGGACGAGTGCGCCCGGCCCGGCGTGTGCCCGCAGCTCTGCATCAACCTCCCCGGCTCCTTCCGCTGCGCCTGCCGGCCCGGCTACCAGCGCCAGCCGGGCGGCGATTCCTGCCTGGATGTGGACGAGTGCCTGCGGGATCCCTGCCCCGGGCCCTGCCGCAACTTGCCGGGGGGCTACGAGTGCCTGTGCCCGCCCGGCTTCCTCCCGGAGGAGGAGGAGGAGGGGGGGGGGACGCGGCTGCCGCGCCGCCGCAGCCACCGCCGCCGGAGAGGAGCCCGCGGAGGTCCCCGACGGCCCGACGGGGACCCCGAGCATCCCGCCGAGCATCCCGCCGAGCACGGGCGCCCCGTGGACCGCGAGAACCCCGCGGAGCACCGGCGCCTCGGGGACCACGAGCATCCCGCGGACTCCGGGAATGCCCGCCGGGGTGACCCCCACAGGGGCGGAGGAGGGAGCGGCTCCTCCCGGCCCCGACGAGCACAGCGCCGACGGCCCGCGGCTGCTCCTCTATTACATCCTGGGAAGCCTGGTGGCCATCCTGCTCCTGCTGGCCTTCGCCCTGGCCCTCGTGGCTTGCAGGAGGAGGGCCGCCAAGAAGGAGAAGCGGCCGGCCAAGAGCGCGGCGGATAATTATTGCTGGGTGCCCGAGCAGCCCGAGAGCCGCGGGCAGGGCGGGGAGCGCAGGTAGGAGGGAGGCGGGGGAGCGCGGGGGGACCGAAAGTGGAGATAAAAGGGAGGGGGGGATGCTGTTTGTTCAGGGTGCGACTGTGCTGCCGCTCCAAGGGAAGAGTTAACCGTGGGGGGGAGGAGGAATGGGGTGGGATTTGCCCGCCAGGGCTTCTCCTCGACTCTTCTTCGGGACCTCGCCGCGCTCCGAAAAGGCAAATTACGGCTGTGGTTCGGACTCCTAAAGGAAAACTGTTCGTTTCGAGTTCTCCTGCAGCCCTTCCCCACCCTGTCCTTTGCCATCCCCAAAGCATTGCTCCCCCCCACCCCCCCTCACGGCTGCTTTCCACCCTTGGATTTGCTTTGTTCTCTTGGAAAAGGGCTTGAAATTCGGATGTGTCTCACCGGGGTGAGAACTGGCCCCTGCAGACACAAGCAGGGTGGGCTCGAATGTTTCGTTTTGGGGTTTTTATTAAAAATCTTGTCACCTCAGCACTGGGAAAACCGCTCAGCAAGGGGCCGAGGCAGCACCTGTACGGGAAAAAAAGGTAGGAAAAGCTGTGTTTGGAAGAGCCACCTGACCATTTCCAGTGTATCCTGCCTAAATCCACTTGCAAAACACAGCAAACAATGCTCTCCTTCGCAGCAGCCGGATGGGAGGCCGGACTTTTCCTGTTGGATCATTCTTTTTGGGTAGGATCCCTTTCCTGGCTGCTTGGGCTCTGGGCTGAGCGTGTTTTCCCTCTCTCTCCACGTAAGGAACGCGCTGGATTTTGGATATTTGCTCTTTGTTGTGTGTCAAACTTGTATCTCCACCACAGTAAATGCTTTCTCAGGGCAAAGGTGCTCACCAGGTACTTCCCCAACTTCACAGAGCCTCTTCCAGCTTCATCACCATCAGGAATCCTTCCCCAAATCCCGAGGGGCACGGGGACCTGCTTCCCATCCCATCCCAGCAGCGTTCCTTCCTGGTTTATCCGTGCTCTGCGGGGGCAAAAAGGTGCTAGAAAAGAACAGACATGTGATTTTAAGGGTACAGCAGCTTCCTGAAGTTTCTGCTGGGTTCATTGTCCTTGAGGCTTAATTGCTCCAGGAGTGGGAATTGAACACAAAGGAGTTTGCAGTAGGCAGCGACCTGCATCCTGTTCTTCCAAGCATGGAGGAAAACCCTTTCCTGCTGTTATTTTTTCGTCTTTGGGGCCTCCATTGTGAGATGAAAACACACCACAGGAAAATGCAGCTGATAGGAATGTTTTCCATGTTCTGCCTGTGCTTTCTTTTCTCTGCACAGGCGGCTGGAGAAGGGGGAGAAGGCAGCAGTGGGATTCTTAGAAATCCTGCAGAAAATTCCTCCCCTGTCTGCGTTCCCCAAGCCAGCACTGAACAAATTAGGCAGATTAATTACCCCCTCAAAATCAGGGGGGACAGCCAACATACATCAAATTATGCCGACTCGGGATCTGTGGGAAAAGACAGCCTTAATTTTTTATTAAGGTGTCCACGAATTGTTGGATATAACAGCATAAATAAGGGAAAAGGAAGCACAAGGGTGGGATCAGAGCTGGTACAAACCTGAGGTGTGTTATTTACTCCAGAAAAAAATGGTAATCCCAATTCCTGTCACAACCTCTGTGTGTTCCAGTGGAATACAGAGGTGGGTCCGGCCTTGGGAAGACGCTGATTTGTTCTGGGGTTTAGTCTGGGTTCTCTCTGGTGAGCTATTCCCTGATGTGCAATTCCACCTGGATGATCTCACGTCTCCCTTTCTCCCTGCCACAAACCCAGCAGGACCGTTTGGATCCATGTGCTCCTTAGGGAGTTGTCCAGGGACCGGTGAATCCCACGGGGAAAGCAAATAGGAATGGGACTGGATAGTTTGGGGCCCTGTCTTACAGAGGATGCAGGACATTCATCCTGGTCCAAGGGTTTTTTTCTCATGGATGGGTGTTTTATTTTCCTGGGCCAGAATTAAACACTTGGACTCAAAGGATAAGGTTTTCCCACCTGTGGAATAAGGCTGTAAGTTGCTTTCCATATGAAACACCAATAAAACCTGAACAGAAAGTGTCTTCAATGGTTTTTAATAAATATATTCATAAAAATCTGTTGCCTTGATGCTTGGAGTCCTTGTGTTTCCCACAGCAGTGGATGCTGCTCCCAAATCCTCTGCCAGGGCTCATCCCACGTGGAGTCTCAGCCTTTCCCAGGCTCTCCAGTCCTGGGTGAGGCCTTTCCCTTCATCCCCACCAAGGTCACGGCGTGGGGGCACTGGGATGGGCTTGGCTGGATCCTAAACCCATGAGCAACTTCCTAAGCCCACGAGGAAACTCCCAAACCCATGGGCAAGTTCCTAAAACCATGGGGAAGGTCCCAAGCCCACGAGCAAGGACCTAAACCCGTGAGCAAGTTCCTAAACCCACAAGCAAGGTCCTAAGACCATGACCAAGTTCCTAAAACCACAAGCAAGGTCCTGATCCCATGACCAAGGTCCTAATTCCACGATCAAGGTCCCAAATCCGTAAGCAATCCCTCTGATTTCAGCACAGCTCTCTATGAGGGTAGAGATCAGCTTTTTAGGGATCAAATAATAGGATGAAACCATTTTTTATGGTTTCATATTAATTGCATTACATTATATTATTATTTTATGTTCCGTTGCATTCTATTCCCCCGTGGATAACTGCCAGCATTCCAGCTGAGGAACCTCATCTCCAAAACCCCACAAAGACGCCAAAAATCCCCCTGTTGACACACACAGGTCAGGACAACCATTCCAAGTACCCACTCCCAGCGTCCCTCTGCCCGCGGGGTGACAGTGACAGGGATGAGTCAGAGCCAAAGGGAAAAAGGGAAAGGTCTCCGTCCCCTTATCACTCCGGGAACATCTCGCAAGAGGCTTTGTGTGGCAGAGGAACATGATTAATGGGTTTGGGGGGGGGGAGGAAAAGCTGCCTCACAGCAGGAAGGGCATTTCTGGCACCCTGAGTCAGCCCCGGGGCTGGAGGCAGCCGAGGGGAGGGTTCGTCGGGATAAAAAAGGGAATTATTAAAACATGATTAATCGCGTTCCTCCCGCCCCAATTATCTCTTCAGCGACAAAGGTCGACCCTGCAAATGTTGTTGGTGGGGCAAGGACACCAGTGTGGGATCATTGTCTGGGAGGGCTGTGTTTTTTCCTGGAAATATTTCCCTTTGCGCAGCCTTGACGAGGAATTTTTTAATCTGGTTTTACAGTTGCTTTAAAAAAAACCCAATAAGGAACAAACCAGAAATCTATTGTGGTTTTTCTATTTTTTTTTTTTAATTTTCCACCTATTAAATTCGGTGTTCTTTCATTTTCTGTTGTTTGCCCTGAAATTCCACCCTTATTTTGCTGGTTTGCTTCTGAAAAAAAAAAAAAGAAGAAGTAAAAGAAGAAGTAAAAGAAGAAGTAGAAGAAAAAGAATTGAAAAAAATGAAGTGAAAGCTGGGGAAGCAAGAGGTTTTGCTAAAGCCAGGGAAGGTCAGTGTTACCCAGCTCTCCAGGGAAGCCCTGGGAATGATCCTGTCCTCATTTTGAGAGGATGGAGGGTGGCTGAGCTCTCCTTGGATGAATCCTTTATCCCAGGAATGGCCACTGCAAGCTCACACACGTGGACACTGATATGTCCCTCCGGCCTTTCTCCTTGGGCTGCATCCCTGCCTCTGGAATCAAATCCCATGGACGCTGATTTTCCAAGCGTGTGGCAGAGCTGAAACCTTCAAGAGATAACAATTTATTGTTAGTGTTATTAAGCATTTTTATTATTACCCTTTTCCCCATGTTCCCCTTTCCCCACACGGGGTGGGAAGAGGACAAGACAAACCACAGGAGTTTGATAAATAATAAATGAAGTTTTAATGAAGTGAATTCCTTGGGATGAGCCGAGGAAATAGGGATTTGCTGCTCCGCTGGGGGGGATCCCAAGAGTTAATTGCGGTGACTGAGCCTTTAGGAATTGAAAACAAAAAGGGTCAAATACCTTTTCTTTGGGGTGGAGAAGCTTTGGATGTTTGGTTTTCATTTTTACTTTGCTCCTGGCTGCGCCCTGGCAGCAGAGACAGATTCCCCCGAAGATAACACAGGGAATGGGACAGCTGGAGGTGCCCACAGGGAAAGGGAGATGATATCCCGGGAGTGAGACCCTCCCCTGGTGCCCCGGGAGGAGGCTGTGGGGAAAAGGGTAATAATAATAATGCTTAATAAGATTAATAGCAATTATTATAATTATAGAATTTTATATAAATATATAAATTATCTGTAATAATTTACTGGCATGTATACATATATATTAATTTATTATTGTTGCTTAAATTATTTATTAAAGAAATTTTCCCAGTATCCAACCTGACCCTCCCCTGGCACAGCCCGAGGCCGTTTCCTCTCATCCAATCCCTTGTTCCCTGGGAGCAGAGCCCGACCCTCACCTGGCTCCCCCCTCCTGTTGGGTAGTTTTTGGGAGCGAGGTCCCCCCTGAGCCTCCTTTTCTCCAGGCTGAGCCCCCCCAGCTCCCTCGGCCGCTCCTGCTGCTCCAGCCCCTTCCCCAACTCCTTTTCCTTCTCTGGACTCGCTCCTGCCCCTTAACGTCCTTGTTTTCATGCGGAATCCAAACCCGGAGACAGGATTTGAGGTGTGGGCTCAGCAGTGCCCAGCACAGGGGGGGACGGGCACTGCCCTGGGCTCGCTGCCGCACTGTGGCTGCTGCACAAACCGGGTGATGACCCCATTGGGGTGATGATCCCATTGGGGTGATGATCCCACTGGGGTGATGATCCCATTGGGGTGACGATCCCAGCGGGATGGGGATCGCAGCGGGATGGCGATCCCATTGTGGTGATGACGATCCCAGCGGGGTTCACTCGCCCTGACTCCCATCCCGAGGCGCCCTTCTGTGAAATCCAGTTGCCGTTTCCCCCTTTGCACCGGGAGAACCCCCCCCCCCCCCGTTTTTCCCGGTCGCGCTCGGCGCCGGCCCGCTCCCCGGCGCGTGCCCCCGTCCATCCCGCGGGAATACCCCGCTCGGCTCCCGCCCCCTCCCGCTCCTCCCGGGCGGGACCAGCCGGGGAGGAGCCGTGGGGAGGATGCGGGAGGGAGGGGGGGGGGGCCGGCGTGGGCGGGTGGGAGGGGAGGGGAGGGGGGACGAGGCGTCTGGCCGGGATTCACCCGCCGCAATCACTCCCCGTCCCCCCGAGGCGCTTCCTTCCCCCGACGGGGCGGGCGGGCGGGCGGCTATAAAGGGGGCGGGCGGCGGGCTGGGCCATGCCAGAGCTCCGCGGCGGCGCCGGCCGCCCCCTCCGCCGGCCATGCGGCGGCTCCCGCTGCTGCTGCCGCTGCCGCTGCCGCTGCTGCTCCTTCTCGGGATGGGGCTGGGAGCGCCGGGGGAGCCGCTCG